ACCCCACAAAGTATATATATTATTGATCATGATGACAAGTCGAGTCAATATAGCCATGTCCGTCTGTCCGTCTGTATGAACGCAAAGATCTTAGCAAGTACAAGAGCTAGAATAACCAAACTTGGTATCCAGATTGTCCTAAGTCCAAGAAAGGACGAGTTTGTGTTTTATTTCTGATACACCCCGCCCACTCCCCTGCCATTCGTGTTTTCCATAACTCCTGTAATTCTTGGAATTTTGAACTCAAATTTTGCCTATAAATCCAGTTTGTTATGTATCCGTATGCCAAGATTCATCATGATAGGTCAATTCTGAAAGAAGTTATAGCCATAAATAAAATCCCAGCTGTTGTTGCTGCTTTGGTTTAACTTTGTGCAACGTACATACACGCATATAAACACGCAGAGACACGATTCTGATGTAAATGTATGCTGTTGAAACTGTACATGAACATGTCTGCACTTTTGTATATACATATGTATTGAATAATTTGTATTTCATTTAATTAAATAATTTAATTAATATAATTTTTTAACATTAACTAAAAATTTATTTGTTCCTTTTTAGTGGGAGGTACATGGTATTTAAGAATTCAGCCTGCTCGACTTTAGCATTCCTTTCTTGTTTTATAAAAATTCATACTGCGCACTGAAATATTTACACAGAATATAAATGTTAGACATATAAACTTAACAAAAAGCATCATTGAGTTCAAGTCAGTAGCTTAAATATTTTATTTTGAAGTGTTTTTTGCTTGAGTATCAGTTTTGACTGAGACAACTAATTGGAAACATCGAAAATGTACACAACAGAAAAGGCAAAATTCAAACATTATAACCAAAAAAAACTATTAGTGCAAATATCTTTAATATTTCTTAGGAAAGCATTTCTGTTTTAAAATATCGCGCAATCAACGATTTATTGACATTATAAGGTGCTAGCACCCCATGCTTTCTTAATTTCTTTGAAAACCGTATCTTAATTCCCTATGTTCTGTTGAGCAATGACATTTTTAATGGAATTTAGATCAGGACCGCGCGATGGCTATTGAAAAACTCTAACTTGTGTCTACAAATTATTTCGTTAGACACGCCGAATGTTTTGGGTCATTATCTTGCTTTTAGACCCAAACAGCCGTAATTTTTTTATTCGCTTATGCTATCAAAACATCTCTCAATATATCCACTTACTCCTCCCGTGTCAGAGCTCTCTCGATGGGGAATATGAGGCCAACTCCATTCCCCGAGAAACACTCTCAAATATTTATTTTGCCTGGACCATACTTGACGACAGTTGACACACATTTCGGATTGAGTTTTACTATTTTTTGGCTTCGCATTTATTTTTTTGTACCATAAAGACCAAGTCGGTCAATCATTATAGCCTGTACCCAAAGGGTGAAAGGCTATACTAGTTTTGTGCGCATGTATGTAACACACAGAAGGAGGCGTGGCAGACCCCACAAAGTATATATATTCTTGATCAGAGTGACAAGCCGAGTCGATATAGCCATATCCGTCCGTCCGTCTGTCCGTCCGTCTGTATGAGCGCAACGATCTCAGAAGGTACTAGAGCTAGAATAACCAAACTCGGTATCCAGATTCCCATAAGCCCTAGGCAGGTCAAGTTTATACCCCCCCACTCCCCCGCTATTCGTGTTTTTTGTCCATAACTCCCGTAGTTCTTGGAATTTCGAACTAAAATTAGGTAGCTAGATCCCGTTAGTGATTATGTGTCTGTATACCAAGTTTCATCATGATAGGTCAATTCTGAAGAAAGTTATAGCCATAAATAAAAATCAACATGGGTTTTAGCGTCGTAGTTTTACGTAATTGTCACCGTTTGTTTGATGCGTAAGTTTCGGACCACTGTCTCAAGCAAACGACCAGTGACAGTTCCTTCAGATATTGTTGTATCGTTTTGATACCACAGTTTGACCTGGATGTCTACTAATCCCCTATGGAGATCCAAATCACCCATTCGTACAATCTTGCTATCTGAACGCTTCGATGTTTGACAAGATATTTCTTTGCGTAGAACTTTTGCTATGGTGTCAGTTTTTCGGTAATGGTAAAAACCCTAAAAACAAGTTTCCAACATCAAAGTATCTGAGTTGCAATAGCCTGAAACGTCATACCATTCTTTTCAAGTTTAAGGATGGATTTTAATAATCACATTGAATTAAAATGTGTTCTAACAAGCAAAAACAACAAAAACTTACATTAGTTTTGCAAAAATACTTTTAAAAATCGAAAATTACACCAAAATTACTCTTTCAAGAGGGATATAGGAAGAATTTAAAACATGTGATAATATACCCTTAGGTAGTCCATAGTGTTGGTAAATGTCATAAATTTGGTAAACATATACTAAGTTCTATTATGATAGGTTAATTAGAAAGAAAGTTATATTTGCGTAGGAGAAGGAGGAGAGAGGGAAATTCCAAAATACATATTTTCTGCGTATTCACATAAGGCATCTTGGACTAAAATGGGGTGTTCCTAGGTCTTGTAGTGTCCGAAATATAGGCGATTATACGAATGGAAAATCGGGGAAAACCGCCATAGGGGGGAGGTGGGGGGAAAATAAAAAAATAAAACAAACTTGCACAGCGTACACACAAGGCATCTTTTTGCAAAATTTCGTGTCTCTCTGAGATCCAGGTGTTCATACGGACGGAGAGACTGTCAGTCTAGATCGACTCGTCTTGTCATGCTGATCAAGAATATATATACTTTGTGGAGTCAGCCACGCCTACTTCAGCCTGTTATATTTTTCACCTCCCGCAAGCCTAATATGCTCTTGTACATTTTATGTACAGAGTATAAAAATATATGTAGATATTTCTAAAAAAAACATCTGAGATTTTTGCATTTATCAAAAAAATAAACATATCGTGTTTATTTGGTTGTCCTGCCAACCAACCTACGCAACTCAAAACGCATACTTGGCGATAACTAAAATGATCACTTTGAATCCCCTATAGGGAAAAAGGGGTATATTAGGGTTGTGTAAAGTATGTAACAGTCAGAAGAAAGAATCTCCGACCCCATAGAGTATATATATTCTTGATCAGCATGACGAGAGAAATGGTTCTAGACATTTCCGTCCGTCTGTCTGGATGAACGCAAGGATCTCAGAAACTATAAAAGCTGGAATAAGCAAAGTTGGTATCCAGATTCTCCTAGGTCCGAGAAAGGACGAGCTTATTTTATTTAAAAACAATTTTTTTTTCGCAACCGCAACTTTAACTAATCTTTGCACACATAATTTATACATAATAATCTAATTTTGTTTTAAATTTCATCTTAATCGATTAATTCTAAGAAAAGTTATAAGCGAAACAATTTCACTCCGGTACTACGCCCACAAGCTGCAGCATCAAGTTCGCTCTTCTTCCTTTTGCTCCTGCTAGAGGCGCATATACCTCAGTGTCGGAAGTTTAGCTGGGTACAGGGTATTTCACTTCTTTCACTTTTATTCTGATACACCCCCCCACTCCCCCGCAATTCGTGTTTTTTTGTGTAACTTCCGTAATTCTTGGAATTTTGAAAACAATTTTGGTAGTTACATCCAGTTAGTGCTTATGTGTCCTTGTGCCAAGTTTCATCACCGGTATTCTGAAGAAAGTTATAGCCATAAGTAAAATCGCTGCTCATGCGCTGCCTGCAGCACTGCCGGCAGCGCTGCCCGCAGCTGTTGTTGTTGTTTCTGCTTTGGTTCAACTTTGTGCTGCATACATACACGCATATAAACACGCAGAGGTACGTGATGTAAATGTATGCTGTTAAAACTGAACATAAACATGTATTCTAATTTAATTTAATTAATTAATTAATTTATTCATTTTTTTTAATAATTTAATTATACTCTGTACATGAAATGTACAAGAGTATATTAGGTTTGCGGGAGCTGAAAAATGTAACAGGCAGAAGGAGGCGTGGCAGACCCCACAAAGTATATATATTCTTGATCAGCGTGACAAGACGAGTCGATCTAGCCCTGTCTGTCTGTCCGTCTGTCCGTCCGTATGAACACCTGGATCTCAGAGACTATAAGAGATAGAGACACCAAATTTTGCATAAAGATGCGTTATGTGTGTACGCTATACGAGTTTGTTTTATTTTTTTTATTTTCCCCCCCACTTCCCCCCTATGGGGGTTTTCCCGATTTTCCATTCGTATAATCGCCTATATCTCGGAGACTATAAGACCTAGGAACACCAAATTTTAGTCCAAGATGCCTTGTGTGAATACGCAGAAAATGTATATTTTGGAATTTCCCTCCCTCCCCCCTCTCCCCGTAATTCTTGGAATTTCGAACTAAAATTTTGGTAATACCCCCAGTTAGGTATTATGTGTCCGTATGCCGAGTTTCACTATGATAGACCGATTTAACAAGAAGTTATATCCATAAATATATTTGCTGTTGCAGCGCTGCCCAAGCGCTGCCCGCGGCTGTTGTTGATGTTGCTGTTTAGTTGACTGCGAAAATGCTTACACAGACACAAATAGACGCGCATAAACATACATACACTCACATAGACGCAATTGCTTTGTATATGTGCAATTATATACCCTTTACGTGAGTTCGAATACCGAGAAAGGTAAAATCGATCCAATTTTTTTTTAATTTTCTTATTTTTGTTTTCTATAATTATTGTAAACATATGTATGTACAGAGTATTTAAAAGTCGGGACACCCGACTTTAGTTTTTTTACTTGTTTCTTTTTTGTGGAGAGTACAGGCTATTTTACTGTCGGGCTTGCTCGACTGTAGCGTTCTATCTTGTCTCTTCTTAATTTCTATAATTATGCTACACATATGTAAATAATATTTCGAAGTCGGGAAACCTGACTTTAGATTCTACACTTCTTTTCTACTATCTTTTTAAATTGGGCTTCAAGTCCATAATAGAAAACAAACTTAAACTCTACATCCAGACTCTACTATAGGCACAAAAATAAAAACAACAACTACATAAGAAATTTGCATTACAGCAGGCGCAAATACTCCAACGTCAACTGTTGGCTAGCACCAATATGCACCAACAACCTATAGCAAATTACCAACAACAGCAATCATCCAGCACAACATCGCATGCAAGATTCATTCCCAAGGCCCTAAACATAATATCAATGGCTCCTTCTGGAAACACTTGTACTACAGCTACAATCAGCGATACTTCTATGGCGGCAACTAACACTACGACCAATCTAGCAACAATTCCGTCCGTCGTCAGTACCTATTCTCTCGATCCTAATGTTTCTGTTGCTTCAACAGCCGACACCGATTTTAGTGGAGGCGACAGCTTCGGCATCATTAACGCTAATTCACAACAAGCAGCAGCCACAGCAATGCTCAACAATCACAACAGCAGTATGCAAGTCACTGCCAGTGTGATATCTGCTTGCGGCGTAGGTACCATGAAAACGCTAACGTCTTCTGGTGTGCCGACAACCATAGCTCAGCAGCGCCTACAATCCAAAATATCCACTGGCAAGGGCCGTAAGGTCACAACAAATCGGTTGCCACCTGGGGCAGTCAATCTTGAGCGTAGCTATCAAATTTGTCAAGCCGTTATACAGAACAGTCCTAACCGTGAGAATTTGAAAGGGCAACTACGTCCCCCTGCAGCTATTTTAAGCCAGCAACAAACAGATGCGACTACAACAGCTAGCACACCAGTAAGCAGCAGCAATACCAACTTCACAATGGCTGTCACGCCCAACGTAACGGCAAGCACCGCCAATGTAATTACTTCACAAACTCTAGTTAGACAAGAGGAACTGCTCACTGGAGCTGCGCTTCCTCCAAATGTCATGGGCGTTGGCAGGCCAGGTGTATACAAGGTGGGTTACAAAAGCTCATATAACGAGTAAGTAACCTATTTTCTTTTTACGAAGGTAATTGGACCACGAATGGGATTTCCTCGCAAGAAATACGTGGAACGAAAGACTTTGCCAACATTCATACGTCCCTTATTTAGTGGCGTGTCAGGAGCAACAAGTACAGCTACTCCAACACAGTTGCCAACAACCTCTGTGACCCATGAACAGATGCTACATCACAACGGCAGCGGTCAATATGTTCTTTTACATCGTGCTAATGTAGGCGCTACAGACAATCATGCGCCACGCGCTTCCAGTGCTCCACCAATACATCAAAATCAGGTGTGAATAGGTGTAAGCATCATCCACTCATTACGACAAATAATGTCTATCCATTTTAGTATCCGGCAGTACAAAATCAGCTGCAATCTGTTAATGGCCTAGCAGTGGGCGGACATGGGCGTCCAGCATCTGTAGACACAACTACAATAACGCCAGCGATTTCGTACGCCATAACAGAGGCAACCAAGCATCAGGAGCTACACGATTCTATTGGCAATGTAAACGCGGTTGCGAATATTGTGCGGCGCAATATCGCTGCAGGTAAATTGGTGTTTTATTAATGCTTGACGAGGTATATCTTTCAAGTCAAGTATATATATATATATATATATATATATATATATATATATATATATATATATATATATATATATATATATATATATATATATATATATATATATATATATATATATATATATATATATATAATATATATATATATATATAGCATCTATATAAAACAGTTTGTCCTGACTGACTGACTGACTGATTGGTGATCAACGCACAGCCCAAACGGTAAAGGCTAGGAAGCTGAAATTTGGACTCAAGTATCCTTTCAAAGTCTAAGTCCCCACTAAGAAGGGATTTTGGAAAACTCGAGCTCCAAAGGGGGGAAAAGTAGCTCCAAAGTTTGTTTGAAAAATCCGCATTTTTCAACCGATCGACTTAAAACTTAGTTTCTAAAATCAATTAAAGAATACAAACAAAACTGCATACTCGGATTTTCGAAATTTGTGTTGGAGTTTGAATTATTGGGGTTTTAATATTTATTCACTATTTCAAATGATAAGTTTGTGTTATAAATTTAGTCCGATTGATTTAAAATTTGGATAATGTAATCTACGTAACTAAATCTACAACTTTGCATTTAAGGATTTTCAAAATATGCATTTTACAAAAGCAGACAGAACAAACAATACAAAATATCAAACAGTTGGGGACAACTAAGTATACATACACACATGCAAACAGCTGTTCGTGTAGTTGCGTGCAAACGAATGAAATAGCCAAAGCAACATGTGAGACACTAATGTGTGAATGTCCATACATATGTGTACATCTATGTATGTACATATGTATCTACATGTGTATGTTTGTACATTCGTCTTGCACTGACAGAGCAAGAAATGTTAATTAATTGAAAATTATATAACATTTTTAAAAGTAATTTTGTCTTTGTTTAGTGCATTTGGCATTAGGGTTTTCATTAATAACTTTATGCAGCAACAACAAATATCAAATAGTTGGGGACATCACATACACACACTCACACACACAACAAGCAACAGTTCGTGTCTATGTGTGCGGTTCTCTACGTACGGTTGAAAAAGTAAAGAGAAACATACATATGTATGTATGTATGTATGCCTGTGTATGAATATAGCATGTATGTACATTCGTATTAATATTGGGCAATCGAACACAGTTGTTTGATTGTAAATAAAATAATGCTCTAAAAACAACAACAACTGCAAGTCATTAGCTCGCTCTTCTTCTTTCGTTTTGACCATTTAATGTTAATTGCAAAGGCAAAAATCCAAAAGTTTACAGTTACCGTCGCTAGGCAACGACTGCGTAAGCGATAGTAAAGCAGAAACCGAATATCGGAGCTACGCATATTCTGCTTCGCATTGCGGGCAGATGTATGTATGTATATGATTTGTTCTTATTGATCTCAATAAATAATTAGATTTTATTATTTAAATATTCTGCCTATTGCATTCAAACTTCGATATTTTGATGGTATCGGTGCCAGTGCTTTTTGATCGTGGCTCATCGCTGCACGGCATTGACACGAATGCCGTGTTTCATATTCCGAGTTTGTGCGTGGCCGTATTGACTCAATATGACACGAAAAGACTTAAATGTGAATTTAAATTTTGACTCAAGTATCCTTTCATAGTATCCATCATAGTGTAGGAGCACACTAAGAAAGGCTTTTGGAAAATTCTAGCTCCAAAGGGGGGAAAACGAGCTTTAAAAAATATTAGTTATAGTGGTCATGTTCGTTTAACGAAATAGTTTGGCAAGAACAAAAATGTTACGGACTATTGAACAATTTTTTGTCAAGAACAGAAAATGTTCATTTAAATACCTTAAATGCCCCCGTTGGAGCTAGAATTTTCCAAAAGCCTTTCTTAGTGTGCTCCTACACTATGATGGATACTATGAAACGATACTTGAGTCCAAATTTAAATTTACATTTGAGTCTTTTCGTGCCATATTGAGTCAATACGGCCACGCACAAACTCGGAATATGAAACACGGCACTCGTGTCAATGCCGTGCAGCGATGCTTTACTATCGCTTACTCAGTCGTTGCCTAGCGACGGTAACTGTAAACTTTTGGCGTTTTGCCTTTGCAATTAACATTAAATGGTCAAAACGAAAGAAGAAGAGCGAGCCAATGACTTGCAGTTGTTGTTGTTTTTAGAGCATTATTTTATTTACAATCAAACAACTGTGTTCGATTGCCCAATATTAATACGAATGTACATACATGCTATATTCATACACAGGCATACATAAATACATACATATGTATGTTACTCTTTACTTTTTCAACCGTACGTAGAGAACCGCACACATAGACACGAACTGTTGCTTGTTGTGTGTGTGACTGTGTGTATGTGATGTCCCCAACTATTTGATATTTGTTGTTGCTGCATAAAGTTATTAATGAAAACCCTAATGCCAAATGCACTTAACAAAGAAAAAATTACTTTTAAAAATGTTATATAATTTTTAATTAATTAACATTTCTTGCTCTGTCAGTGCAAGACGAATGTACATACATACAAGGTGCAATTCAAAATAAACAGGACTTTTTGAAGCTAGCGCCCCCTGGTGGCGCTATCTATATGTCGACTGGTGCGTTAGAATCTGCTATCTTTATTGATTGTCCAGTGAGAATTTTATGACATTTCATTGATTGGAAGTGAAGTTATTGCGTTTTAAGTGTCAGTATGTTTGTGTTATCGGTCGGAAAATGAGCTTCGAAAAAAAGAGCCAACATTAAATTTTGTTTTCAAATTGGTAAAACTTTTATCGAAATTGATGAAACAAGTTTATGGCGATGATTGCCTATCCCGTAGCAGAGTGCACTAGTGGTTTCAACGTTTTCAAAGTGGTCGTGAGGACATAAATGACGATCCACATGTGGGCCAATCAAAATTCGTGATCACCAAAAATGCCATCAAAACAGTGCGTGATTTCATCAAAAATCAGCCGAAATCATCATTGAAATTGATGGAAATGGAATTGAACATCTCCAAAACATCGATTTATCGCATTTTGACCGAACATTTCGGATTACGAATGTGTGTGCACGGTTTGTTCCGCACAAATTGACTGACGACCAAAAATTGCTCAAAAATCAACCGATTGTGACCGATTATTTGACCAAAAATCACATTTTAACCATTAACCACTCGCCGTATTCACCTGATATGGCACCGTGCGACTTCTACCTTTTTGGAAAACTACATTTGGCCATGAAAGGAAACCGCTATGCTGACGTTGATGCCATCCAACAGGCGGCGACCGCCATCCTCAACGCTATACCGACAAATGACGTAAAAAAGTCGTTCGATCACCTTCTTGAACGTGCACAACGTTGTTTTCAGCGGAAGGAGACTATTTTGAAGGCGACCGATAAATTTTTTCAAAAAAAAAAAAATAGTTTTCGTTTTTTAATAAAAGTCCTGGAACTTTTGAATTGCACCTTGTACATATGTAGATACATATGTATGTACATACATAGATGTGCACATACATATGTATCTATGGACATTCACACATTAGTGTCTCACATTTGGCTTTGGCTATTTCAATCGTTTGCACGCAACTACACGAACAGCTGTTTGTATGTGTGTGTATGTATACTTAGTTGTCCCCAACTGTTTGATATTTTGTATTGTTTGTTCTGCCTGCTTTTGTAAAATGCATATTTTGAAAATCCTTGAATGCAAAGTTGTAGATTTAGTTACGTAGATTACATTATCCAAATTTTAAATCGATCGGACTAAATTTATAACACAAACTTTTCATTTGAAATAGTGAATAAGTATTAAAACCCCAATAATTCAAGCTCCAACACAAATTTCGAAAATCCGAGTATGCAGTTTTGTTTGTATTCTTTAATTGATTTTAGAAACTAAGTTTTAAGTCGATCGGTTGAAAAATGCGGATTTTTTCATACAAACGTTGGAGCCTTCCAAAATCCCTTCTTAGTGAGTCCAAATTTCAGCTTCCTAGCCTTTACCGTTTGGGCTGTGCGTTGATCACCAATCAGTCAGTCAGTCAGTCAGTCAGGACAAACTGTTTCATATATATAGATATATTCTTGATCAGGATACAAGCCGAGTCGATATAGACATGTCCGTCTGTCTGTATGAACGCAAGGATCTCAGAAAGTATAAGAGCTAGAATAACCAAACTTGGTATCCAGATTCTCTTCAGCCTGAGAATGGACGAGTTTGTTCATTTTTTCTGATGCAGCCCCCCCCCCCCCCCCCATATTCACGATTTTCTATAACTCGCTTCTTGGTATTTTGTAATAAAATTTGGTAGTCTCATTCAGTTAGTGATTATATATCCGTATACCATTATGATAGGTTCATCAGAAAGAAAGTTATAGCCATATAACCAGGCCCAAGCTCTGGTCGCAGCTGTATTTGTTGCTGCTTTGACATAATTATGTAATGCACACATACATATTTACAAGTACGCAAACACGCATAGACATGATTCTGATGTAAATGTAAATGTATGTATGGAATATTTTATATTTATATAAGTTTATATAAGTTATAATTATAAGTTTATTTACTATATGATATTCTTCTTTCGACGCTCTCTAAAGTTTTTTAAGGAGTTCATTTTCCAAATAGCAAATATAGTACAATAAGTACTATGTATGGTTATACGTACATACGGAATGCCAGTCCTGACTTAACCGTGTGCTTCCTCAGCACGTTGTACGCACGGTCGAGTTATCCCCGAAAAGTCCGACGCGGGACATTTAATTTTGATTTATAAATCGGGACGTCCCGCTAAAATTGGAGCGTTCGGCAACGCTGATATGTACATACATTTAAATTTTTCATGCAGGCGTTATCCGCCTATATACATACATACATACACATATAAGTATGTATTAAATTTTTTAATTCAACACTAATTTGTGTCTTCAATTCCAAATATGATTGTTGTGAATGTAAAAGGTGTGTTTCTGCTTTTGTAAATCGCATGAATACACTCACAAAATAGGCTTAACGGTAAATGACTCTTAGATTTGTTCAGAATACATTTGTAGCGTTGTTAGCTAACACTAAAACGGTAAGTGGCTATAAATATGCGATCAGCTGAGATGCTAGAGATGGGTATGTGTCGGATGCTCTATGTGCTAGAAAACAAAAACTATTGATAGTTGAATCCGTCGATACAATCAATATTTCCATCGAAGTTTGAATGCAATTAACAGAAAATTTAAATAATAACATCTTATAATTTATTGAGATCAATTGGAACAAATCATATACATATGTAGATATGTACATCTGCCCGCAACACGAAGCAGAATATGCGTAGGTCCGCTTTCGGTTTGTGCTTTACTATCGTATGTATGTACATATGCATGCATGTTTCTCTTTACTTTTTCAACCGTACGTAGAGAACCGCACACAGACACGAACTGTTGCTTGTTCTGTGTGTGAGTGTGTGTATGTGATGTCCCCAACTATTTGATATTTGCGTTCTTTGTAATTTGTTGTTGCTGCATAAAGTTACTAATGAAAACCCTAATGCCAAATGTACTAAACAAAGAAAAAATTACTTTAAAAAATGTTCAATAATTTTTAATTAATTAACATTTCATGGTCTGTCAGTGCAAGACGAATGAACATACATACATACATATGTATATGTGTGTAGATGTACATAGATGTGTACATATGTATGTGTGTACATTCACACATTAGTGTTCACATTTTGCTTTGGCTATTTAAATTGGTTGCACGCAACTACACGAACAGCTGTTTGTATGTGTGTGTATGTATACTTAGTTGTCCCCAACTGTTTGATATTTTGTATTGTTTGTTCTGCCTGCATTTGTGAAATGCATATTTTGAAAATCCTTGAACGCAAAGTTGTAGATTTAGTTACGTAGATTACATTATCCAAATTTTAAATCGATCGGACTAAATTTATAACACAAACTTTTCATTTGAAATAGTGAATAAATATTAAAACCCCAATAATTCAAGCTCCGCAAAATTTCGAAAATCCGAATATGCAGTTCTGTTTGTATTCTTTTATAGATTATAAAATTCAAATTTAAAGTTGATAGGTGCAGAAATGCAGAATTTTCAAACAAACTTAAGAGCTCGTTTTCCCCCCTTTGGAGCTTGAATCCCTTCTTACTGGGCACCTTAACTATTATAGGATCCTTGAGCCCAAATTTTAGCTTCGTAGCTCTTGCCGTTTGGGCTGTGGGCAAGTTGTATGATATGTGAGGTCCAGTTGTATTATTGTTTATAGTAAGACCAAGAATTTTGATTGACTGGACTGTTGGGATGGAAATATTTCCTGTCAAAATTGTGCAGGTGCAATTGTGTTTACGGTAGAAATTACTGCACCGGAACATTGACACCATTCGTCTATTTTCATGAAGAGAGAATTAAGGTTTGCTTTTTATGCTTTTAAAGTTCAATTATTAGATTAAAGTCATCTGCATAGGCGCAGAATTTAATTTCTTTGTGTATCGAAAAGATTTTAGAAAGGCTGTTAAAGGCTCTAATAAAAAGAATAACTGAAATAGGAGAACCTTGCGAAATCCCGTTGCTTAATGGGAATGTACCTGATCAATTTTTAACAATTTTAACTGATAATTTTCTATTATACCTAAAGTGTTTAAAATAGTTGAAAATTTGTGTACCTATTTTCCATTCTATTAGTTATTGAAGCAAAAAAAATCAAGATCCAGGGGTTCATACAGACGGACAGACGGACGGACAGACGGACGGACAGACGGACGGACAGACAGACAGACAGGGCTAGATCGACTCGTCTCGTCATGCTGATCAAGAATATATATACTTTGTGGGGTCTGCCATGCCTCCTTCTGCCTGTTACATTTTTCAGCTCCCGCAAACCAAATTTTTGATCATTGGATAAGATATGTCCGGGTGTGAGTCCTTTGAGCGAATTCAGGGTTGACTGGAGTTCAATAAAGGTAATGTTGTTTTCTATTGCGAGTGTCGCTTTACATGGAACATGTGATAAATTACAAATTAAAGAGTTCTGTTTGTTTAAGGTGAATTTGTGGGAGAAGTTTTTGTCATCTGATTCAGTTGACCAAAATTGTGCGAACGAGTTAGCTATTGTTTTGGGTCTATTGACAATTCTTTTGTTATTGGATTATAAAGGCTATGAATATGTTTTGTTTGATGTAGTCCACATAATCTTTTTATGTTTGACCAAATTTTAATAGAGATAGAGTTTGGCTGGATATCTGAAATAAAATTATCAACAGCGGTACGCTTTGCTATTTTGAGTTCTCTTCTAAATAGAGCATTGGCCTTCTTAAAGTTTATTATGTTTGGTTGATTAATTTGTTTTTTTTTTTTTATATCTTCTCTCAATGCAGCTAGCCTTGGATTCCACCAGGGAACTGTATGAGTTTTAGAAAGTGTTGTGTTTTATGGTACTGTCAAATGGGCGCTTTGGATAATAATTTTCTTTAATAAGGAAGCTTCTCTGTTGACATTATTGCTTGGTGGTTTAAGCGAGTGAATATGTTGTATTTTTTCAGAAAATAATTGCCAATTGGCCATTTTTAGTTTGAAAGTGGGTTTGGCAGTGTAAGTAGGGTAAATTGGGGTGGGGAAGATAGAGATGCATATCGGGAAATTATCGCTACCATTAAGGTCATCAATAACTCCCCACAGGCCAATTCTGCAGAGCAGAATGATAAATCTATATGAGTAAATGTATGGTGTGTAGAGTAGTGTGTTGGGCTTTTGTTGTTCAGTAAAATATAGTTGTGTGTTGCTGTGTTATGTATTTGGCTAATACTTTGCCCCTTAAATTGCTCTTAGGAGAGCCCCAAATTGGATGCCAAGAATTAAAATCGCCTAAAACTAGAGTAGGTGTGGAGTTTTTGGGAAGACTAAGAACATTTTCAAGATTTGTTTCGGAAAAATATTTATTGGGTGAAATGTACACTGAAATAATGTTTACTTGCTTCTTTGATAAAATTTCTATACCTTGAAGCCTTCAAGGTCTCCACTTAGTTGTAACTTTGTAAAATTAATGGAGTCGTGAACTAGAATGCTACTCCGCCAAATGAATTTGTGTTATTAAAGGATATTAAAGAGTAATTAACAGAGATTGGGTATCGGTATTAGCTCTTATACTTTCTGAGATCCTTGCGTTCATACGGACGGACGGACATGGCTATATCGACTCGGCTTGTCATCCTGATCAATAATATATATATACTTTGTGGGGTCTGCCACGCCTCCTTCTGTATGTTACATACATTCGCACAAAACTAGTATAACCTTTCACCCTTTGGGTACAGGGTATAAAAATGAACCTCGAAATATAGTTCCATGTGGGTGGGATGAGGTGACGACAAGGCATCAGAACTATCACTGATAACATTAGAGGTTATGTCGCCCTGGGTAGCTGACTATCCGGTGATGACAGTGGGTGCCCGATAAAAAGCGAACCTAACAAAATATTAGACCAAACGAAATAACCCTTTGTAAGGTTAAAAGGGTATATACTGGTCTCCATATTTTATACATCTGATGACATTGTACATATACTCAAAAAAAACTAAATGTTTGAGAATTGAGTTCTGATTTTGCTAATGCAGGTGTTTATCTTGGTGATATACAAATAAACTATTTTTGTTACCGTAGGCGCAAATATCACCTACATCGATGGCAGAAACGTGACTGCCAGCCTAATGGATACATCCAACAACTTTATAGTAACAACGACAGCTCCTTCAACAAATCTCCATGGTCCACAACTCCCGCAAACACAACAACCACCACATTCGCATCCAATTCAGATTTCTCAAAATAGCGGTGAAAACACGCCACCAACCCAAGAAGCGGTTCCAAACAATTGCGCCTGCGCTCTAAATGCTATGGTTATTTGCCAGCAGTGTGGAGCATTTTGTCACGACGATTGTATTAGTGCTGCAAAACTTTGCCTTTCGTGTGTGATCAGATGAGAGATGAAATTTTGAGATCAGTTTTAAAATGACGTATTTTAATAATAGCATATAAGGATATATTGTAATCTTATAAGTTATTAGTTTAATATTAATAGTTTCCAAGATTACGAGATAACTAGGAACACAACAACTATTATTAATGTACATGAACACATTTACAATATTAATTACTGTTACTATTATGTTAGTATAGTGATGAAATGATTTTCAAGACGGTCTTGTAATTTTGAAATTTCTTATATGTAAGAAAAGTATATATTAAAACCTACACATTGTATATTATAAAACGATTGGAAGAAAAGTGCAGAGGCTGACGCACGTAAAAAGAAAAATTTGAACAGAAATACAGCAAGATTAACCCCAAGCATAAATATGTAAATTCCACACTCAAGTTTACCTAAATCTTAAGTTGATGCATGTATTTCGTACTTTTGCCTGTGAATATTCCTGAAATACTCTTTAATTTTTGTGATTTTTAAGGATATCGCCTGCATATTTAGAAAACAGGAAAAACTCATTGTAATTTATATCTACATAAAATATTCGCAATAGAAAATACCACAAGCTATTAAATGTATAGGGAATATAAAAAAAAAATTTAAATTAAAGGTAACACATATTGTATTAAAAGAAAACATATGTTTTATTTCTATAGCTTTGTATTTGAAATTGTTTACGAGATATACGAGTACAATTAAAAATGAAGTTAATCTTGCGAATAAAAATATTCAAAATATAATAGAAAACAAGCAAGGAATGCAAAAGTCGAGCAGGCTCAACTCTTAAATACCCTGTACCCCCCACCAAAAAGGAAAACAATTTTTTTTATTTTATTAATTAAATTATTTAATTAAATTAAATACAAATTATTCAATACATACATATATACGATAGTGGAGGCATTGGTACAAACCATAGGGCAATCTTTTTTCAGATCCAAATGTTCCACTCATCAGGCACGCTTTCGCTTAGCCACATTTTGCAAATGAGCACCCTACCAATCCATTGCCGCATGCCTATAATAGCTCTGCGAACAAAACGTCTCCAGCCGATTTGTTGATTTTGAGCCGCTGAATAGCAGCGCCAACTTCGTCATGGCCAGGTGATGGTACTTCAGTACCATTTTGCGGTCTGCCGCCGGCGGTATTGTTCCCATCTTCTCCTGAGAAGCCTGGTGAAATGTTCCACAACCTCAGTGCCGGCTGACGTCCAAACTTCCAGTCACACTTCCAGTCCAAACCAATAACGTCTTCTGCAGTTGTGTCTAGGAAGCGAGAAATGTGCGTTTGGAGCCCGCTGGTGCTATCGGGTACTGGAAACCGCTGAGACAGTTTCTAACAAAGTTGAGTGAAGTAAGCTCCAGCAGTCTCTTCTGATTGCAGCTTACCGACGTCGTGCTCGCGGCGCGCGATGTAGCAACGTTTTTCGCCTGTTGGCTGTAATAAGTAAGAGATCGAAGTCAATGTTCACACCACAAAATGCTTGCACGTTAACCACGTTGGATGGATGCTTTCCATCTGATCTATGATGATCACGACAATGCACAGTGATCGGTCTTGTATGGAATCAGCGGCCAAAAATACTTCTAGTGGAGCTATCGTACTCTATAGTAAGATGACAATATGTCAAAATCATCAAGATCGGACGACAATATCATAGAGCTCCCATAAAACAGACCGATTTAGAATAAAATTTTTGTTTTTTAACCAAATTGAAAATAATTTAGTTTGTATCCATTTAAGGTTTTACATCAGCTGACCAAATTTCATCCAGATCGGACGACTATATCTTACAGCTTCCATATAACCGACCAACTAAGAACGAACCCCAGAAATACTTTCAGCAGAGATATCAAAGGGAAACAATTTTTTTTTTGTTTAAGTTTTTTTCTATTTATCGAATCCTCTCTCGGAGACTTACGATAAGTAGTCGAATCCTTACCTAATATGGTTATTTAATTAATTACAATTAAATATTTAAATTACGACCCTAAATGTTATTGCTGGGTGGGGAGGTCTCTTCCCTTAAGCTGGTACTTTGCTTTCACCTTAGTTATTTCATCTTTAACAGATCCCACAATCTTTCCAGATATTTTCACTCCGTATGCACCTGGGTGTCCCAGTGATGGTTTTCAGTATCTTCGATTGAGATCCCTCGATTAACTCTAAATTACTATTGGAAGCGTTTCCCCATAGTTCAGAGCCATATGTCCAAATTGTATTGAGAACTGCATTGTACAAGAGTACTTTGTTTTAGTGGTGAACGGAACAGTGTAGATAAATAGCTTTTAGTTTCAGTTGATCTCTCTTCGCTTCGATGTGTTTGCGCCAAGTAAGCCGTCTATCACCAAGGTATGTTTCATTGGTTTTTTGTGGAATATTGATGTTGTTTAGCGACAATTGAGGAGAGGTTTGTTTGTTTAGGGTAAAGGGGACATGTTTGCACTTTTGCACTTTGCACTTTGTTACATGTATGCGCCAGTCAGCTAGCCATTATTTTATGGCCACGAGGTGAGATGATAAGAGTTCTGTATCTCTTGTTGGGCACTTGGAGCGACTTAGGATGGCAGTATCATCAGCAAATGTCGAAATTGTTGTATAACTGTTTGTCGGTATATCTGCTGTGTATATGATATACAGTGTCGGTCCAAGCGCGCGCCCTTGGGATGGTATTCGGAGAGGAAATCTTTGCATCTAACTGCGAAACTTCTTTGCTGTAGGTATGACTCATTGTGAAATATACTGAACAGCTCGGCACTTCAATGATCATTTTGGGGGAAATTAAATAGCTTCAATATGATTGGTTAGTGGGACCATTAATGCATGGGAACACGACTGCTTTTGTAAAGTCTATAAGCTGGAGTGGAGTGTTTTGCCGCCAGTGACATTACAGACACTAGTGCTTCAACTTTGCAGTTAATGTTTGGGCAGCCATCAATATGGGAACTTACGTACTTCCTGTTTTTCTAGAAGTTAAAAAGTGTGGGCGCTCCGAGTACTGTGGGTGGTCATAAAGGTGAAGAAGGATTGGCGAGTGATCCGATGATAGATCTGTTGAAATCTGAGCCTGTGGCACTCTTCTGTCTCACAAGTCTGGTTGCCTATTTGGATCTGTGGGCCAATATGTAGGCCAGCCCGGAGATATAAAGTCAAGCTTGTTTCGTGGTGTTATTATAGTATTATATAGTTGTCTTCTTTCGGGTTGATGAGCGGTCACCTATTAGGTCGAAGAAATGTGGAAATTCTGCCTCAGAAACGGAGAAGCGGGGTGGGCAGTATACTGCGGCTAGGCTTAAATAGCCGCTTTGTATTTCAATATGAATTGTTGTGGCCTGTAGACAAGTTGTAGCAAATAATGGCAACGGATAGTGCCTGAGGCGACGCTTTATCAGGATGCCAGTACCTCCATAGGCCTTACCATCATGATAATTCGTCACATAGAAGTTGTAGCCATTGAGGTGAAAATAATTTTTGTTTGTTGTCATGTTGATTTAGGAACTACAATCGTAGTTGATGGTATGTACGGCAAGTTTTGTCGGATGACTGAATTTCGAGCTGCGGATTTTTGTTGGCTTAGACGCCTTTTTATCTCTTTGTGTACAGGGCAACCTCTATAGTTGCCAGTGTGGTTTCCCCCACAGTTGCTACATTTTTTAGCAGAGAATTACATCCCCGCAGACAACACAGCCTGCGCGTAGGGTGCAATAGGTTTTTATGTGTCCATATTCCTGACAGCTTGTGCATTGAACAAGTCCATTTCGTTTATGCGGATCCTCAACGATGATTTTACGGTGCAGTAGATATTGCAGCTTGTAAATTGGGTGAACTTCATGTTTACTTATAGGTATACAGTCAGTTGTCACTTCTACCTTGAACATTGGTTGGGGAATTTTCTTTATATTTATTATGTTCATGGCCATTTTGAATTCAAAGCCCTTATCTCTAAGTCCATCTTTTATCTGTCTATCTTATATCTCTGACTGGAACCGTTGGCTCAATTCCTTGTAATCCCTTTTTTTCGCCAGCTTAGGTAGTGAGTTTTTTAGCTGTTTCGGCGTACCTGAAGAAGATTCAGGTTTTTAGCTGGTTTTGTTAATTTGGATGCGTTGTTTTTCCTAGTCGCTTGTGGGCTTAGTTTTCATTTGATTTGCACATAGAGATCGAGTTCAGTCTGTATTAACGCTCCGTTAGCGCTTGTGAGTCGCAGTGAGTTGGCAATACTGGGCGCTGAGAGACTGCTGTTGATGTAGTTGTAGTTGTCGTTGTCGAAAACACAGTTGTGAGCGAGGGCATTGTACTGGTCGTTGTTGTTATTAGCAATTCATTGGTAAGACAGTAGGGGTCTGAAGACGGGCACTCCAAGCAATATGCTGGGTGAGCATATTATCGCAGGGGAGAGAGAGTGTTCTCTTTCCGAATTGGCTTGCAGTAATGCAGTTGTTGTTGGTACCCGATGTAAAGGGTGCGCGTATAGAAAAGTACGCGTTGTTACGAAGTGACGATGTTCGTCTTGTTGTTGTTGCTGCCGATCGCGATTTTGGCTCATTTTTCTTTGTTGTTTACAGAGTTGCTTTATTTTTTTCACAAGATTTAGTTTGTTTTTCTTAGTTCTAATCACAATATATGACAAATTTACATGGGAATAGGTGCGCATGCATACCCTGAGCGTCTTTTCGCGAATTAATTTAATTCATTTGGCGTTAATTGCACTTTGTTTTATTCTTGCTTGGTAGTTTTCGCTGCCTAGTTAGAGAAGGATCGGAGCTCAGGAATAAACGATTAAGTAAATCCGTATTTGTTAAAACACGTCAAATCTTACGCATGTGATGGAGTCGATACATTTTAATGTCCTTATTTCGAGATTCAGCAGCTTCTTCAGAGAATTGTTCAATAGATAGTAGGGCATGCTCAATAACATCCAAACCGTGTATTAAAATTTTCTGGACTGTCGGTGGAAGATAATACCACGAATACTCCTTAGTGAGTTGTGCAGCAGTATGTAGGACGTCCTCGATCTTGGTTAGAACCTGATGCTTGTGTTCTTAATAATATAGTCAACTTTTGTGCAAACCAATCCGAAATAATAATTTTAGTCGTTGAACTATGGTCCAGAAGTTCGTGTTTTTGGCATAAAGTCGAAATATTAAGCTACAGACTTTGAACTTCGCACATTATCTTTTAATGGCACAAATAGTGTACAAAAACATTGTGGGTCTGTGCGAATACGCCCTCACATACCTCCCATACAAACCAATTTTTAGTTTTTATACCCTGTACCCAAAGGGTACAAGAGTATATTAGTTTTGTGCGAGTGCACATGGAACACACAGAAGGAGGCTTGGTAGACCCCACAAAGTATATATATTCTTGATCAGCATGACAAGCCAAGTCGATATAGCCAAGTCCGTCTGTCTGTCCGTCTGTCTGTATGTATGAACGCAAGGATCTCCGAAAGTATAAGAGCTAGAATAACCAAACTTGGTATACAGATTCTCCTGAGACCGAGAAAGGACGAGTTTGTTCATTTTTTCTGATCCAACCCCCACTCCCCCCTATT